ATCCAATCGTGTTTTGGACATGTGACCTAGATTCTTTCAGTTTATTAATACTGTAATATGTAAAAGTTGTTAACTCACAGGCATAAAACAAATAAAGCTACTAATACTGCTATTTGCAATGTAAAAATCGAAAATCGAAAAAATCGATTTCAAATAGATTTTTTCGATTTGTCGATCAATTCATAATCGATTACGAAAAATTAATCGATTAACATCTCTATTACTAGATTTACGTAGGAGTTATTTAACTGTTAAATTAGGAGAAGAAATTTGTTTGATTAGACGAGTATAATTGATGAGCGGTTCAATTGTTTGTTGTTTTACAAGTTAAATAAAGCATATCGTGGTAACCAAATATTTTTATAGTAAAAATTTATTAGGGGATATAGCACCTCTGAAATTAATAATACTTAAAAATAAAGACAAACAAAACCATCAGCATTTAATCGTAATCCAAGACAAAACAACATCGTTATTTATTATTTTATTTTATTTTATTTATAGCATGCTATTGCCTAGAGTAAGTTGTGGGGAGATTTGAAAGCTAGGATGGACTTTCCAGCATTCTTTGGGTATTGATAAAATTATAAAAAATATTTATTCTATAGTTCGTTCTATTTATTAATAAATTACAACGGAAATCATTATACTGTTTATAATTGATATCTATAACATTTATAAATAAAAGGTGACAAACCAAAAAATATTCTATATAATAATAATGAAAAATGTTTTTCTTTACCAAAAAATCAAAAATTTAAAAATTATCAACATAAAAGGGTGGATCAAGAAGAGTCGGAATTTCGGGGTTTGGATTGTCTGCAGTTGCATAGCCCAACGATTCAAGAACAGATAAAAGTTTAGGTCCGATTGAACCTCCGACATAGCTTCCACCATTTTTAATTACGTCCTTTAACGTTTCACCTCGAGGTTCTTGATAACTCATTAGAAATTCGACGCTTTTCAAATACAATGCTTGGCTCACATGACTAACACTTGATCCCGGCTGATAAGGGTTTAAACTAGTTTCCAAATAAAACAATTGATCATTGGCAGTGTTGTTTACTACAATATCTTGAAAATCCAACCCTTTTTTTAACAAACCAAATGATAAGGGTGTTGTGGCATACTTTAACATATCAGTTGCAATTTTATATTGAGCGGAGTTTTGAAACTTTGCATAAAAATCATCTTCCGAATCAAATTTAGTGCCTTTTGGTGCAAATTTGTTTAACTCGTTTGTGAAATTGGTTAATGGCATACCGCTTGGTAACAATGTTACAAGTTTGTCAAATATACTTTCAAAAAATCCATTAAATATTATTGATGAATCTTGTGATGTTGGAGTTTGAGGTGTGGCGGTGGCGGTGGTAATAGCAGTAGCAGTAGAATTATCAATGCTAATGTGTGGTACCAATTCTGTTGTATTTGCTGTACCAGAATAAGGAGATGGATCCCAAATTGATACAAATCCCAAGCCATGTATGAATTCGTGCAATGTCATATATAAGAATCCATATTGAGTTGGCTTAATTGGTGTTGCATCATCTTCAAACCAAAAATCAACATCAGAGTTAAATTCTGCTATTATGTCAGCAGGTGAAAATTCCGGATTTGATTTAAGTTGGAATTGTTTTACCAATGATTGTGGATATAATCTAACTATTCCATCCTCGCTTTTCATCCCAATCCATCTAGATGGCCCTGCTTGACCTAATAAATCAACAATAAATGAAAATTTAGAAAATTATTCAAGAAAACGAAACAAAATAAAAAAATGTTATTTTATTAATATTATTATTACCTATTGTTGCGACTAATGGTTTAAGAGAGATTTTTACTACAACGGGTTCTTTGAGATTTATGGCTTTGGTAATAGTTTGTCCTGTAATATTCAAATTTCTTTTAACTTTTTCACAAAAACCTACTTTTGTACTTTGACAATCAAGATCAATTACAAACATATTGTCACTATTGACAGTTTGATTGGTATTTTGTGATTTATCTGATTCTTCGATTAATGAACGATAAACTGATTTTGATCTGGATCGTCTTTTATGATCGAAACAACTAAATGTAGAAGATGGTACTGCTGGCGGTACTGCCGGTGCCGGTAAGGAAGAAACATTTGTAATATTAAAAATTGTTAATAATAATAGTAATAATAATGATGGTAATAATAATGGTGTTGGAGAATGACAATTCATTTTGTTTAAAGAATATATGTTTGTTTAAACGAATATTTGATTATGTGAGATGAATATTTATAATTTGATCTTTTCGATGTGTGTATTTATATATTTTTACCAAAAAGGAGGTTTCTATAAATATCTCACTGTGTTAGCTAATTTTGATTGTGGGGTCGATTTAATAGTAATTGTTGGACTGGAGGCGCGGCGTATTTTATCAAACTATAAATAACTAGTCGTACAAGGTATTTTATTACTATTTTTTGTATTTCATCCTTGTGCTAGTCAATTCTCTACATAATCTTAAACATTATTCGCGTTTTGTGGGATGTTCAGTTCATCGATGGGTTGTAACATTATGAAATCTTGATCTGAAATTAAATCGTCAATCATATCTAATCGATTATTCGCCTCAAACCTCGATAATCCGAACCATATAAGGCGGTTTTCGCTTTATAACGATATAAAATTAGTTGGTCAAATCATAATTAATATTATCTTATTTAGTTAGAAGGAAACATTTTTAAAAAATTAAAAAAAAAAAGATAGGTTACATTTGTAATATACGAAGATCTAATCTGTTAAAACAATAACAGTATTAGTAGCAAACGACGACAACGAATCATCGTTTTTTGAGGACGATGATAAAGATTAAAACCAGTTTGTTTTATCAATTATTCAATAGTTTTTCTAGGAATGATCGAAGTAAGCATTAAGGACAAGATCTATGAACAAAATATACTAACGAACGTTTTATCAATTATTCAAGAGTTTGTACAAGCGTTAAGGACAAGATCTATGAAGCTTGCAAAATATTCTAACGAACGTTTTATCAATCATTCAATAGATGTATTTGTTATTTATTTATGTATTATTATTCTAATCATTATTTATGTATAGTAAAGAAAAAATTTTAATATCTATTTATTTATTATATTTACTTTTTAAAATGAATGATTTTACTATATACAAAAGACATGCCTAAGCGATCGAAAATTTGTAAATATTCATAATAATGTAATATTTGGACATTTATTTCTACTTATACTTGCAATTGGACGCGCCAAACAAAATT